ATGTACACTGGTGCAGATAAGAGCTGGAAACACAGGAATCCAGGACAGACAAACCCCTCAGGACTAATAATGAGAGTAGCAATACCAGGAAGGTAAGGGAAAGGTGAGGGGATAAAGGAGGATCCAATCACAATGACCTACATATAATGCCTTCCCTGAGGATGGACAACAGAAAAGTTCGTGAAGGGAGACATTGGTCAGTGTAAGATGTGAAAAAATAATAATAATTTATAAATTATCAAGGGTTCATGAGCAAGGGAGGGGGAAAGAAGGGGGGGAAATGAGGCAATGATACCAAGGGATTACATAGTAAGAACATATTTTGAGAATGATGATGGCAACAAATGTGCAAATGTGCTTGACACAGTGGATGGATGGATGGATTGTAATGAGTTGTATGAGTCCCCAATAAAATTATGTCTTTAAAAGAATAAAATATTGTCAATAAATCAAATAACATTAACTTTATGATTTATGAAGCTTGTTTGAGGAATTTAGTCTTCTTCCTGTTGTAGTATTTATTTCATTCTGAATTTATGGTCATTAGCTATAATAATCTATCTGTTACTGAAAGCAAATATTTATCTCCATCTTTATAATTATTTGATATTTACTTTGTGGCACTAACTTCTAGAAATGGACATAGCTTTATCAAAATTTTTATATTATCTATAAACTGCCAACCTGAGGAATCTTTTGAAATGACAGATTTAATTTCATTTCTGTCAAACTAACTTGAAGAGATATATATCACAAAAGTCCCACAAATCCTTGAACTTCTAGTAATAGAATATATGCCTCTGATTGACATTTTAGTTTGCCTGCAAACTATTTTGATAAGCACAAAATATCCAATAAAATAATTGTCTCCAAAGTCAAATTTGGACAATTTCTCCACTGAAGAAATATAATATAGCCTTGTTTTAGATGAATTAACACACCATCCCCCAACATCCCACTAAAACTCACAAAATAATTATATTACAAAGCTGTTAGTTGTCACTGAGTTGGTTTCAACCCATGGCAATGCTGGATGTACAGCAGTTACCCAAGTACTACCCAGGCCTGCAGCATCCTCCCAATTGTTGTGTCTGATCCCATTGTTGAAGCAGCTATGTCAGGCCACCTGATTTAGCCTCTTAATTTTTTTTTTCTGACCCTCAACTTAACCTAGCACGATGGACTTACCCAGGGACACTATTAAATTAGAATCCAGAAAATCAGTTGGTTGGCACTGAAAATAAATCCTGCTCTTGTGCAAAGAGTATTGCTCTTGCACAACCCCTGACCCATCGTTGTCGGAGAAAGAGAGATAGTCAGTGGTGTTGCAGAAGTTTACGCCAACCGTATTTCTCAGCAGTGATGGATCAGCTTTTAGGTAGAGCTTTAAGTAAGAAGAGATTCTTCTAGTAAAAAATACCGAGAACAGCAGCCCATTATCCGGACATGAAGTGTGCTGGCTTTACAGTGAGAACAGCTTAGCAAAACACACACACACAATGAT